TCTTTACCACCACGGTGTTTGAATGCCAGGTCGGGTATTGCACTTCTCTGATGGTTTGGGACTCAAGCAATCGCGCCACTTCCTCCTTTACTGCTTCTTGATGTTGGGGTGTCGACCTCCTAAGTCTCTATTTTACTAGCTTGAAGCTCGGGTCAACATTCAATCAATGACATGCCACTTTGGATGGTACGGTGGACATTTCACTTGTGCTCCAAGCGAAGACATCAGCATATTCTTTAAGTAGAGTGACGAGCTTACTTTGTTGTTCGGGGCTAAGAGCCGTTCCCAACAAAAAAGTACTTATCCTGGTCCCTGTCCATGTCTAAAGGTACTTTAGTCAAGTCTTCGATTGTGCAGTCAGTAACTTCCTTTTCTGTGCCTAAAGGTACTTTAGGACTTTTAATGTCAATTCGGTTGGTGGAATCAACCGAGCTGTCGGGCATTGATTGTTATTTATCCTCCTCTCTCGAGCCCCTACTCCGTCTCTGGCTTTGACTAAGGCCAATAAACAAGTTTTAAAACTTACTTGGTCTCCTCTAATATTGACTATCCCTTCAGACGAAGGAAATCTCAGCATGTGGTGGTACGTTGATGGTACCGCCTTCATTTCATGTAGCCAAGATTGCCCCATAATTGCATTATATGCTGAGACCCACGACTACTATAAATTCGATCATGACGCAAACCGGTCCAGTTTTCATAGGTAGTGTGATCCTCTCTCTAAGAAGAACTATTTTTCTACTAAAGCCAATTAATGGAATATTAGAGGGCTTAAGATCCTCCTGCTTGAGACCGAGTTTCTCGAAGAGGTCCATGTACATAATTTCGATGGAACTCCCCAGATCAATCAGAACCCTCCTTACATCGTAATTTGAAATCCGAAGTATTACAACTAACACGTCGTTGTGCGGCTGGTGAACCCCAATCAAATCTTGTTTGGTAAAGAAGATGGCCTCGGTTGACTCTTCCACCTTAATCCTTCTATTCCTAACCTCTGGGGTCAATCGCAGTTGATAGACTTCTCTTTCTTTTGCAACTTTCTGAATATATGCTCTAGCAGCATTATTCGTCGACATCTGCGAATTCGTTGTAGCATGGATAACATCTATTACCCCTACTACCGTGGTCTGGTCTCCATTTGGCTTGGTCTTTCCCTTGTCGGTTCTTGCACCATCCTCGATGAACTCACCAAGATGCCCAGCCTAGACTAGTTCCTCTAAATGCTGCTTCAGGGATCAGTAATTTTCGGTCATGTGACCTACGTCCCGATGATATGAGCACCTGAAATTAGGGTTCTTTTTTTAAGGATCCCCTGTTAGCTTATTGGGCCACTTGAAAAACGGTTTCCCCTTAATTTGAGTCAATATTTTATAAATTGACTCCTTGAAGAGTGTCTTTACCCTAATAAATGGAGATTTATAGGGAAATCTTTCTTTCTTATTCTTCCTTCCTCCCTCCCTACTCGGTTCGGTCTGCTTATCATGACCGAACTGCCTTCTGCTTTGATGTTCCTTACCCATATCTCTAGATAAGTTGTCGCCGACTTTAGCATACTTCTCGATTCTCGCCATCAGCTCTTCTAGGTCTGTGGTAGGCCTCTTGGTAAGAGATTGGTACAATGGGTTCTCCTTTGAAAACCTGATCTTAAAAGATGCTACTACAATTTCAGGATTGCAAGCTTCTACCTCATTCATCGTCTCCCAGTAGTTATAAGCGTATTCTCGCAAAGTTTCATTATTTCGTTTCTTCAATGTCAACAGAGCCCCGACATCCATGGGTTGTTTGCTGCTCATAATGAACCATGTTGTGAATAGCGCTAATTATGATCATTCGTCTATCGACCCCTTAGGCAAGCTGTCGAACCATTTCATGGCCGACTCCCCGAGGCTACTAGGGAAGATTGTGCAGAGCAGTGGTTCATTTCTGCAATGAATGGTCATCAGCTGTCTGTAATGTCTGATGTGTGAGGATGGGTCGGTCTTTCCATCGCAAAGCTTGAAGTTCCGGACAGTGAATTTACTTGGGATTCCCCCCCTTTCAATCCACAAAGTGAAAGGAGACGACTCCGAGCCGTCTCCGTATTCTCCTGTTGCTCTTCTGACTAGGTTCCTAGCCAATCTTTGTTCTGGTCTTTTCAAACGGTTGTTGAGTTCCTCGGTGATGAACTGCTTCCATGAGCCCTCCTCCTGAGGTCTTTTCTGTTGGTACTTATCTTCATTAGCAATTTTGGTTCTGTTGTGTTTCCTTTTGGGACTTTCTCGCTGGTTTTCCCTTACACACTTCTCTTTCCTAGTCATCTCTTTTAGCTTAACTTTCAATTTTTCATTCTCCTTTATCAAGTCTTTTTCCCTGGCATAGGATTTCTTAAATAATTTGTCGTGTGCATCGAGCCTGTCCTGTAGGGATTGGATCAATTTTGCCAAGGAGTGGTTCTCCCCCTCGACACGGAGGGATTCACCACGATCTACAATTTGTTGGTTTTGATTCCTAGATGGTTTGAAATTTGCTGAGGATACATCGTCTTCCTTGTGGGGTCTAGATGAACTTCTGTTGACATGCAACCTAACGTTGCTATTAGATGAAAGCGATACCATATCAGAATTATCCAAGGCAAAACTGCTTACAGGTGATCCAATGGCACTTCTCAATCTTGACATTGGCCTTTCGTTTCGATTGATGAAAATTTTCGCACAGACGGCACCAAAAAATGTAAGAGGCAAAAAGTGAAATTACCCTCAATGGAATAAGATTTGGTATTTTTGGAAAAAAAAGTCTTGCTGGACTTGATCTCCCAGTCTTTTCCTCCTACAAAACGAGCAAATTGTCCAAGATCAAAGTACTTCAATCTAAGGCACTCTGATGTTTAAGTTAATAATAGAATTGATTAAAATGCGAATTGACAAGGAGAGTCCAACGTACCTTTCACCATGGTTCCTTGTACATNACTCCGAGCCGTCTCCGTATTCTCCTGTTGCTCTTCTGACTAGGTTCCTAGCCAATCTTTGTTCTGGTCTTTTCAAACGGTTGTTGAGTTCCTCGGTGATGAACTGCTTCCATGANAATCCGAGCCGTCTCCGTATTCTCCTGTTGCTCTTCTGACTAGGTTCCTAGCCAATCTCTGTTCTGGTCTTTTCAAACGGTTGTTGAGTTCCTCGGTGATGAACTGCTTCCATGAGCCCTCCTCCTGAGGTCTTTTCTGTTGGTACTTATCTTCATTAGCAATTTTGGTTCTGTTGTGTTTCCTTTTGGGACTTTCTCGCTGGTTTTCCCTTACACACTTCTCTTTCCTAGTCATCTCTTTTAGCTTAACTTTCAATTTTTCATTCTCCTTTATCAAGTCTTTTTCCCTGGCATAGGATTTCTTAAATAATTTGTCGTGTGCATCGAGCCTGTCCTGTAGGGATTGGATCAATTTTGCCAAGGAGTGGTTCTCCCCCTCGACACGGAGGGATTCACCACGATCTACAATTTGTTGGTTTTGATTCCTAGATGGTTTGAAATTTGCTGAGGATACATCGTCTTCCTTGTGGGGTCTAGATGAACTTCTGTTGACATGCAACCTAACGTTGCTATTAGATGAAAGCGATACCATATCAGAATTATCCAAGGCAAAACTGCTTACAGGTGATCCAATGGCACTTCTCAATCTTGACATTGGCCTTTCGTTTCGATTGATGAAAATTTTCGCACAGACGGCACCAAAAAATGTAAGAGGCAAAAAGTGAAATTACCCTCAATGGAATAAGATTTGGTATTTTTGGAAAAAAGAGTCTTGCTGGACTTGATCTCCTAGTCTTTTCCTCCTACAAAACGAGCAAATTGTCCAAGATCAAAGTACTTCAATCTAAGGCACTCCGATGTTTAAGTTAATAATAGAATTGATTGAAATGCGAATTGACAAGGAGAGTCCAACGTACCTTTCACCATGGTTCCTTGTACATTTTATAGACCTCTGTTTAGTTTAGGATTTCCATGATTTTCGTTTCAAGGTGACACACCTTCCCTCAATTAAGTAATTCAATTTGGAAAGTTGCTAATATCTCTCCAACAATTCCTCCTGTTAGGCCTATAATTTCGTTGATTCGTTTAGCCAAAATGTCTGAGTTAAAGGCGTATCCTTTATCTTTCCATGTATTGTTTCAATCAGCTCGGTCTCGATAAGAACTGACCTCTCTCATTGCTAACTGAACACATTGAACAACATGTTTCGATAAGAGCCGAGCTCTCTCATTGCTTGCTGAACTCATTGTTCAGTTCGGCTAGGTCTATTGACTGAGTGACTAATGTCTTCCGCACGTGCCTTGTCTTGTCATCTTCATGTGGATCTATTTAACATCATAACATGTGTAATAAAGAGAGCTACCCACTTCAATAACTATAATGTCTATGTAAGAAAATAATTACCACATGCAAACAAATGATATTCATTTTTTTCACTTGAAAGAATAAATATTTAGTACAACGGTGATACCATGTTCTCGGTGATATATGATATTACCAATCAATAAGAAGACATTTTATAGGATAAATAAACTCCACCATTCAGAAGCGTCAGTTAATNCTCACGTGCCTTGTCTTGTCATCTTCATGTGGATCTATTTAACATCATAACATGTGTAATAAAGAGAGCTACCCCCTTCAGTAACTATAATGTCTATGTAAGAAAATAATTACCACATGCAAACAAATGATATTCATTTTTTTCACTTGAAAGAATAAATATTTATTACAACGGTGATACCATGTTATCGGTGATATATGATATTACCAATCAATAAGAAGACATTTTATAGGATAAATAAACTCCACCATTCAGAAGCGTCAGTTAATCAATAGGGTGGTTATTAGAAATTACTAAAATAGTGAGATATATTTATTCTATATGCAATATTTTTATTGGTTAATAATATCATGTATCACGGATGACATCACTGTTGTAATGAATATTATAGATCTATTATAAAATGATAATATTACGTAATATAATAATAACATAATATCACTGTTACGCCTCGATAAATCAGATTTATCCTGGAAAGCAGATGGCTATTCAAATTTGCATATCTCAAGCAAGGAACACCAGACAAGACTAGTGAGTTTTAGATGTAACATGAATCCAACATGGAATTAACGAATTAAAACCGACTGTTACTTGTCAGATTCGAAAATGGTACAAACCCCCAAAATGTTTCAAAGAAATCTTGACTTGACCATGGTGATAAGAGATGCCTAGTGCAAAGGCCCCGAGCAGAGAGTATGATCTAACTATGTACCATCCTTGAACACAGTAAGAGCCGGTATATCTATCTCATTCCAAAAATATTATTTTCATGGTGTCGCTGACATGAGCATACCGTAAAATTTGTGCTACGGAAGTATATTTGTCACACAAGAATCCCCTTTATCCGCAAAATTGTCAGTCATCAACGTCGTGAATGATTTGGGGGTGAAGTCTACTTAAAATATCTCTCCACCTGATATAAAACTTCCAATGAGTGCTAGATCTGTCGCATGCTACACTTCAACTTCTCAGCTTCAAGTTCTTGTTTCGTCGACTCAACCCGTTCAAGCAAGTCCATGTTTTCCTAATAATGTCACTCGATATCAACAGAATAAAATGGAATTGAAATAAAATTATATTTTTTAAATAGAATACACAAGCCTATGCTTTCTAGTTCTCCATTACATTGGAGAGGGCATATCTCCAAATTCAAGAGAAAAATAAGTGAAAGACAAGTCAAATATGATCACCTTTTGTAACATTTCCATTTTCTTGTTAAGAGTAGTTTCTGCATCCACCTCCTTTGTCTTGAGAGATTCCTTCATCTACATGGGCATACTTAAATCAATTGTCAAGGTACGAAGTGCAGAGTTTACCTCATATTCCCTTAAAGCCAAAGAAGGAGAAAATTCTGTTGTTGACACAAGCAAATGGTTACTTAACACCTCAGGAATGTTAGATGCCTAAACACAAATACTGCATCTCTATGTTCCAATCCCTAACACCAGTAATATTGATAAGTCTGCAAGTATTTCAGAAAGCATTTTTTTTCACCAGTTGATGCTATCAAACATTTATAAATTCATTTATCAACCAATTCCTTAGAAGCCAATATTTTAAAAGATTATTGGGTGATTGGTTAAATTTTATTTATTCTAGTGTAATTTATTCTTATTGTAATCCAACATTTGCACTTTTGAAAGAAGGAAATAGCAGCTTGACCCCCAAAAAAAGGGTTGCCATTAAGTTACTGGTCTCAATCCCACAAACAGCCAATCTACAAGCTTAGGGAGTAAAACTAAATAGAAATAAACAATGGAAATCATATATTTGAACTCCCCAACTGTGTTAGTTTTGTCATTGGATACCACCAACTCTCCCCCTAGCTATGGTAAGTGAACAGGTTCCAGGGACTCTGCATCTGCTGCTAAAAAAATCATATTTATGCATTTCATAGAGGCATCTTAAGGAATAAGCACTCTGACCATGCTGAGCTATCAATCAAAACCATGTTAATCAGTTCCAATTGCATATAAGATAGCTCATGAACATAGTTCAACTACTGTTGACTGAAGAGTGCTAAAATCAAGTGCAGTTAAAAATATGTCATGTAGAGCCTGATAACCAACTTTTCTAATCAAAATAGACTATGTTGTGAGTTTACTCTCTCTCTCTCTCTCTCTCTCTCTCTCTCTCACACACACACACACACGCACACAGACGAACAGAGAAAGTGAGATAATAATTTCCTCTATAATCTCACATTGAAAGCTTTAAAAACAAACTATACGTCACGCGCACCAAATTTCAGATGTAGCCATGCAGCACAAAGACAGAATCACAAAAGTTTGCAATAAACAAGTCCAACACAGAGACAAATAAGACGGTCGAAAAGTAAATGGTATTCTTTGTGGAATTCTTAGGTATCCATACATATGGAGCAATAAAATAAGATGTGCACTAAAAACTTTAGCCCTCTCACCCAAAGTTGTTAGTATCGTACGATACGCGATACGTATCGTACGATACGTTACGATACAGCCCTAAAACGATACGGATCGTAGTTATGTATCGTTTTTGCGTTGTATCGTCCGATACACGATACGTTTTTACGATACGATACGTATCGGTACGATACGCACGATACGTGCAATTTTTTTTTTTTTTTTTNACACACACGCACACAGACGAACAGAGAAAGTGAGATAATAATTTCCTCTATAATCTCACATTGAAAGCTTTAAAAACAAACTATACGTCACGCGCACCAAATTTCAGATGTAGCCATGCAGCACAAAGACAGAATCACAAAAGTTTGCAATAAACAAGTCCAACACAGAGACAAATAAGACGGTCGAAAAGTAAATGGTATTCTTTGTGGAATTCTTAGGTATCCATACATATGGAGCAATAAAATAAGATGTGCACTAAAAACTTTAGCCCTCTCACCTACCCTACGCGCCTTTCTTTGTAGAGAGACATAATTTTGCAAATAACACTTTCTAGAAGATATCTTTATAGCAAAGTTTTACATGTCTGACCATCCAATAGCTCAGTTGATGACACTGGCTAGGCGAGGTCTTCAAATTGATTTATATAACCATGACATGTGACACATTAAAAGATCATTGTGATTTCCACATCATATCTAAGCCACTTTATAATTCTAAGAAAGAGTAAAACCAAGTGTCGTCCCAATTATTAATATGGGTAGCAAATTGCAACACATAAACTAATCCAATGACCTAGGATAAAATGCCCTCAGGAAAAATCCATCAATCAAAAGATCTCCAAGTAAAAGAAATAAAGTCGACAAAGTTTTGTAACTGTCCAAGAGAGGACAGAATGTATGGTTGGAATTATAAATTCGTCACTATGTATAAACTGAAAAGCTAAATGAAACATGCCTACCTCTATCAGTTCCTTAAAACATTTAGCAGCCCTATCCACCTCCTCATCATATCTGTGTCTCCACTCCGCAGATTCATCCATTGCTTCTTTGTTAGCAAGATCGAATTGCCTTCTACAAGTAGCAAGCAAACAGAAAATTTATCAAACAGAAACTGGGCTCGGAAGTACTGTTTGATCTAATTTTTAATGAAGTTTTCTTGATGGGATTAAGGTGATACTTGTTCTACTTTATCGTATTAGAAGAAATACTCAAGTGTTATAGATAATCACTATGTAAAAATACATCCAGCACATGACCACGGAACTAGAAGTGTTAAGATAACTTTTTTTTTCCTCATGACAGAGGTAGAAGACCTCATACTTTCTTTACGAACTTACGCAATGACGGGTGCAATTAATTGCCTTGTGCAATGCTAAAATCTCAGACAGTCAAGTGTCAGAAGGCAGGTTCAAGTCCAATAGCTATTCCGTATAAATAAAGCTGAAGGTTAGGCGTGCATTCAGTCCACCTCTCCCAGCAGTCTTAATTAGTGGTACCACAGAAATGCCTTTATAGGAGTAATAATTACACCTGCTTAACTTCCAAGCTTGTAGTGGACATAAAGCGTATAACATTGCAAGCTAGCAACAATTGAAAAAAAAGGGCTCACATAATTAGTGAATGGATATTGTAGTTTCTCTTCTTCAAAGGCCTATCACAGCACAGTTTAATTTGACAAATGTTATTATCAATATATCGATAGACAGATAAGAAACTCCCCCTAAGCAGGTCTAAAGGCAAATATTTGTATTCAAATGCTACCAATTTTAATCATCTGATATAATCTAACATAATCTTTAAGCTATGCTGGATTAAAATGAAGTTCCATTAATGCCGAACTTTGGGAGAGGGAATGGGAACCTCGGCTTTTCAGTTGGAGACGGTCAAAACTTTATGCTAGTTTTGCTTTGACACCAAATCCAAACACCCCAATTCATAGTGCCAAACATGGTGTCAACTGTCAAGTGTTGCAAACAAAACTGTTAGGATTTCTTACTAGAAGACTATTTCTATTCTCTTTTCTCTCTTTCAGCTAATTTGCTGTGAAACAAACCTAACCATGAATTTACCCATAAATCGAACTGTTATGAAATGACCCAAAATAAGGTAAAACTCAAAATACACAAAACTAAATCAAGCCCTCCAGTTGATTACTTTAAAAATGAGAAGAAAAAGAAACTGAACCTCTGAGGGATGGATCAATATTCGGTTATTTTGGTTTCTTTCTAGGGCAAAACCCTGCAAACCTAATCCACATATTTGTGTAAACCACGTTTGACTGCAGGTTTAATTTTTCTTAAATACCAATTTTGGCATACAAAGTCCCCCGATACTACTTTCGTCTGCTAATTAACCGTAATGTTCTCAGAAACCAAACAGAGCATAAGAATTCCCCATCATGAATGTGATTAAGCTATACATCCACAACAAAATAATCACAAATATCAGTTCTACTCATAATGGAAGTCTCCAAACACATACAGAGACTAATTAGATAAACTGATACAGGAACAAAGAGAGCACAATAGGGGAAACAATCGGAAGACAAATGAGAAAATAGAAATCACCTTATTAACTCACTCTCAGTAGAAGAAATACGGTAATCGATAGTCCAAAGCCTCAAGTAGACGGCAATACCCAGCACCATAACCAGCGCCAACCCCATTAAGATTGGCCTTCTCCCTCTCCCCATTCTCTCTCTCCCTCTCTCCACCTTTTACCGCAGAGAGTAGGAAAAACTGAAAATTAAGAACTAAGTGAGGTTAGCTGTTGCACTAAGGGCGTGTTTGGTACGTGGGTTAGGTTTAGGGAGGATGGAAAGGGGGGGGGGGGG